GTTTAACTGTCGAGTTGGCGAGATGCCAGTTTCAACCTTTACGTATGTGGGTGCGTAAGACTCTCGGTCGTGGGATGATATTATTTGGGTCAAACGTGGGTAAGCAACGTCTTCGTGAAATTTCAGTTTTCTAGTTGGCACTCTTCCGAAATTGCTTCCGCGCCAAAGAATTTTTACGTGCCCGCATGTTGGAACACGTGGTCGTGGTGTTCATCTTGTGCCTTGGAACCCGTACGTAGCTGTAAACTAAGTTGCCAAAGTTTTAGCCTTATAGGCTTTGTAGGTCTTGTAATGAAAAGTCGGTACAGGCGCACACACAGACAGAAGTGCACCTACACACACAGGCAACCCCTCGGCAGTATGCGTTTTTGCATTGTGTGGATGTTAAAAATGCATTAAAACTAATCCTTTATTCACTTACTTCGCTGTCTTTGTTTGGCTTGGGCTAGCAGTGGATAGAGTGTCGATTGGAATTTGCAAAATCTTGTGCTTCAGTCCAATTTGGTCCATGTCTGAAGAAACGGCACAGAGCAGTTTGCACATCAGTCAGCTCTCTGTCCTTTAAACTTAGCTAGTAATACTAGTCGATGCTAGTGTATAATTTCAGACCTTCTTTGTATTAACATGATTTTCATCTTCCAGGTGGTGACGTTGCTGAATGACTTGTACATGGCATTTGATAGTGTTGTAGACAATTTCAAGGTGTACAAGGTGGAGACGATCGGTGATGCTTATATGGTGGTGTCAGGTCTTCCCGAACGACATGACCAACATGCTTCTCAGATTGCCCAGATGTCCTTGGCATTGTTGCACAAAGTCAAAAATTTCGTTATCAGGCATCGCCCCAACGAGCAGCTCAAACTACGTATCGGCATCCATTCCGGTTCGTGCATTTTTACTTTGACTGTAAATCGGCCACCGTTTGACGGATTTTTTATCTGTTACTTTACAACGAATTAGTCGACCTTGTTGCCTTCCTGCTGTACTTTCCATCCACAATGTCAAATATATTTGATTTGATTTTACCTGTTCCGTGATATTTTAACAAACTGCTCGTATTTAGCGCACTGCCATCTGAAAAAAGTACTTGGCAGGCTGC